TTTTTAGAACGGAAGACCAATTTGAAAAATTACGATAACTTGCTTTCCTTTAGCTGAAGTTTAGTTTGTTGTCGTTTAACACATATTGAATATTTTATTTTTTAAAAATTTATTTATTAATTGGTTTTTAGGATGGAAGACCAATTTGAAAAATTACGATAACTTGCTTTCCTTTAGATGAAGTTTAGTTTGTTGTCGTTTAACACATACTGAATATTTTATTTTTTAAAATTTTATTTATTAATTGGTTTTTAGGACGGAAGTTCAATTTGAAAAATTACGATAACTTGCTTTCCTTTAGCTGAAGTTTAGTTTGTTGTCGTTTAACACATATTGAATATTTTATTTGTTAAAAATTTATTTATAATTGGATTTTAGGACGGAAGGCCAATTTGCAAAATTGGTAAAGAATCATACAGTGATAAAAATTCCGGATTAAATTCCGGTATTCAACAACAGCACTTACATTTTCACTATAAAATATTATTTTATAAATTATAATATCAGATGTTTTGTTCCTTAACGTGTTTCGGTAAAAATGAGTTTTACCTTTTACCATAATTTAATCCGTAATTTTTTATAGTTTAGATCGGGCAGCCCAGGAGTTTTTCCTTTACCTTGAAAAACACAATTTCTTGATCAATAATTGTCAAGGAAATAGAAACCGTTTTCTGAAAGTATATCAGTCTAAGTTGAACAATTTTTCTTTATTTCTATGTAGTTTTTTATGTACTTCATTTTTTACATTCATTTATTGTTTTATACAGTATGAATACAAAAAACGTATATTTATTACAATTTAAGTAATTATTTGGTTAATTTTGTTTCTCCAATAATGTTGATAAAAATCAATTTGGGTGCGGTAAAAACCATATTTTTTTATTCATTATTTAGCCTCTAATAATTTAAAATAAACATGATGTAAAGACAATGCATGCATGCATAACTAGTTTAAAAACGGAGAGTAAGGAATAAAAATCAGCTTAAAAATTCATTACTCTGAGTGTGGATTCTACCCATTATGAGGAAGATAATAATACCTGTTTAACTGTAGATAATAATAAGATGAGTATAAGAACGAGAGTTTAATTGGCAATGGTTGATTTAACATTTGTATAAATTTATAAAAATGAAACCAAACCTTTTATTTGGTTTAAAGTAATCATGTGAACACTCTCTTTAAACATATGAGAGTATGTAAAAAAGTATGTGTAAGTATGTCTGAAAATGGGAAAGTTAGTTGCGTTGCCGCTATGTTAAAATTGGAAACATTTTCTAATGCCTGAAATTTAAAATAAAAATACACATAATATTGACAAGAGTATTAATTAAAGAGTGTCTAAAATTTTAAAGAAAAATTCGATTAAACCATAGATTCTTAACCTTTTTAACGTTGCCGCCCCCTTAATAAGGAAAAAACATATCAACGCCCCTCTTTGCGATAATCCAGTTATATAGAGCATGAGGATTGAAGGGATGAGCTGAATTATAAGATGCATTTTTAGGCAATTTTTAAACGTTAAATTTGCTTGTTTTTTTTAAAAAAAATTTAATGTGTGCGTAAACTCGATAATTTTCTCCAGGCAGGTAATCACAGACTATTTGTCATAATAAAAAAAAATACGGTAATGAAAAAAATAGTACAACAAAGAAAACTATACTTAAAAAGAGTGACCTGTTCTTAATTAGACAATTAAAAAAAACACCCAAAAATAAAAGTAGTATCAACGAAACAATCAAGTTACTATGTCAGTGGAATGATTGTACTTGATGGTTCATAGCCAATTTCTTAACGTTCGGCTCAATGTTTTTGCTGAGGTGAAGACGCAAGTCCCCTCGTTGCATCATTTCGTGTCTATTTCTCTTTTTTGTGATTTGATCCATAACAGCACTGAATCCACGTTCGACGAAGTAGGAGAAAGTGAAGGAAATTGAAAATATTTTTGAAAATGAGAATGAATTTTGACAGTCCAGAGTAGAGGCAACTGATGTTACCTTGAATCCAAAAATCTGTGAGTTATCACCATTTCAAAGCTTCATTAGTTGAAAGTTTGACCGATTCCTCCTGAATCTGAACCTCTTCTGTTTCAATATTCAAAAAAAGGTTAATAACCCATTGAAGGAAACAGAACAAAACATATTTATAACGGTCAGAAAAGTCCGTGTGCAAAGAGTCAAGATATTAACTATATTCTTGAGAGGAACATCAGAGGAAATTTCGCCATTCTTTTCAAGATACGATAAGATTTGAAATTGGTTGAACTCCTTCCAACCAAATTTCTGCTACCAAAAAATAAGTTTTTTTTAGAAATGTAGAAATAACTGATTTCGTAGGGATCAAATTGAGTTTGTCACCTTGAAGTTGCAAATTAACACCATTTTATCTTGCAAGTAAATCCACCAACGTCTATCTTAAATTCTAGCAATCTGTCTCTCAGAGCTACATTCTGTCTTCGAGGAACTCAAGCACAGAGTCGAAAAGATTCAAGAACCTATTGAGACAAGACTCCTTTGAAAAGCCAGCGAATCACGGTGTAGTAGCAAGCGATATTCTTCATAGTTTTTCTTAGACAGCTGTCTAAGTAATCAATCATTGAGAACATTACTGCGAATTTTGTTCGCAGCAGATATAATATATTGCAATGACTAATGCAAGCGGTTGCTGAGGTTTTTTCTTATTAAATACTGTCTGTGAAACACGCAGTGAACTGCTAAAATATCTGGTACCACCCTCTTCAAAACGGTGAAAAACCCACCATGTCGACTCACTATTGCAAGGGATATTTTTGATTAAATCGGATGAGGCTGGATAGTGTAAAACTGTTCCTAAAACTTCCTTAACAGTCGGCAGAATCAATTCTTTGCCGATGGTATGACATTTCCCAGATTTAGCAATTAATTTTGATATAAGAACTTATCAAACCATCATCGCATTTTTGTGATTAGGTTGCCAGTAATCTTGAGGCCAAAGATGCCTTCAGAAACTTGTCTTTGATATTGGTGAAAAATGACAAATCTTTATTTTGTTTGTGAGGATGAATATTTTGCAAATGCTTCTGCTAACGAGAAGGCTCCATTGTCCTATTATATTAAACCTTGTTATAAAATAAATTCATGGGTAGTTGAGAGTTCAAAACAAATCTAAACTTCAAGTACGTGACACTGTATTGAATACACTTCTTTATGTTAACCGACATTGTTGGTGGCAGCAAAGAACGAATGAAAGAAAATCAACTGTTTTTTTTTCAAATTAATAAATAATTTACGATTAAGAACTAATTCACAAACGTACCTGGCCAAATAAGCAATGAAATCGAATCGAAACTGGGTAAAAAACTTCTGGGAAGCAAACTAAACCATCATAATAAACACGGGTCAAATCGAACATTTTTACAAAAAGCGCATGCGCTTTAATTCTCACCAAATGGCTGAAATGAGTTAGAGGCAAAAACTACTGACTCATGCGCTGCGCTGTGCTTACTTACTTACTTTATTTAAAAACAACTGGGCACCTGGACCACGCAGCGGTCCCTATCCCATTCATCATGAAATTACAACAATGAGTTAAAAACATTTTGAATAAAAGCAGTCGTTGTGGTAGCTCTACAATAATATTACCATGATTAGAGAAAATAAAAACTTGAACAGAGATATTTACAGTAATTGCCAATGCGCTGTGCTGATTCGGATCGAAGAATATGTATTGCATAAGTTCGTTTTACTGCTGGTACTAATGTTGTATCAGATAATCTAAATTTATTATATTAATTTAATCTTTGTTTTCTTTATCATTAATTTTAGATTAATTTTATTTACTAAATGATTCTTAATTTAATAATTTTATTTGGGAGTATTAAAATTAAATTTGAATAACATAAC